GTAAAGGCCGAAAACTGCTTGAAAAACTTCAAAGGTTGATATTTTTCAGTTTTTCCAACTTCAGTTCTGATCAAATATTCAATAATTATTAGGATTAACACTTAAAAAGCCAGTTTAGTTACATGATTATTATTTTCTACATCCATTTTTTTTCAGTCTCTAAAAATTTCAGGATGAGATGAAACTAAAGTTTAATGAAGCATCGTTTTTAACATTTATTTTCTTCATGAAAAGACACAAATGTCCTATTAAAATAATGTTTTTTCAAACTAAAATAAAAAATTTTACATAACTCATTGCTTTAATGGCCTTAAAAGGTCTTTAAACGCTCATAATTTTAATAGTTATTCAGTACATTTGAAATCTGGTGCCACACGAAAAATTAAATAAGAATTGAACTCATAGTTTAGACTCAAAACCAAACGGTTATGTGGAAAATATTTCCTCTTTTATGTGTTTTTTGTCATAGAAAACAGCAATATCCCCCAAAAGGTTACAATTTTTTGTAGTTCTTGAACAGGGCTGAAGTTGATTAAGACATTAATGCGGAATAAAGCAGGAAAATATTTCTCTGAGGTTTTTAGAGAGGTTTTGGTCCTGAAGCCGGTGGGAATAAAGCCTGGGGGCTGAGACTCACGATTCTGTGGGCTAAAGGATGCTTTTTTACAACATATCTCCTGTCCTGATGGATGGTTTCTTCTTCGGACTTCTTCAAATGTTGAACGTCATCTCGTTTTTCCTGCTGTTTGGCTCCTCTGGAGATCACAGACTTAAGGTGAAATCGGTCATAACTGGAAAAACGTTTTCCACCCGTTTGTGTCGCCCCTGGACGACTTCACCTGAGCACCAGCAGAATCTGCTGCTCCTCTCCAAAATGTGGGTTTATGTTCCCATCACCATTTTTCTAACGATCCAAAGATGGACGTGAGCCGTGGTCGCCAGTGCGGCTGGGCAGCAGAGCATCACAACATGACGGGCAAAACAAAGTGTAAATATCGCCAAAAAATTGCTGGAGTGTGAATGATTAATACGAGAAAAAA